GATGTAACACTCGCCCATCTCAGCTTCACGTGAGCGCGTTGCGTAGAGACAAAGGTGGCCAGGCATGGTGCAAGCAGTGAGCCATGCAAGGTTCATCCAGATTTCACGAAGGGGCACCTCGGGCAGGTGATGTGTTCGCGATTGGGTTATGCAACTGACGTCCCCAACCCACCGGCTGGCCGAGCAGGTCTGGGTGGGTGCTATCACGTGCTGATGTAACCGTGGGCTTGCCACTGATGCTTGCCTGTGCTGTGCTCTCCACATGGATGTGCGTGGGAAGGATATCCATCTGTGTATACTCTACTGACATGTACGGCATTAGTGAATGGATGGCTGGCACGTGTGACGTATAGAGCAGCAGACTGTGTGTGTGGGGGGGCGCGACCCGAATTCAATTCCCGCTCACGGCCAACACCAGTGACGATTATATGAACATTAACCAGTCCTGGGCCTCCTATAGGTCGACTCAGCATCAAATGAGTATCTGATGCGATGTATAAATACCGCCACTGGTGAGACAAAGGCGGCCGCGCGTAGTGCTGGCCACCGACCCCCTCGTGTGCCGTGCCGACTTTCATAGAAAAAAGATAATAACTTGTTAAGGTTGTAAATTATTTACTTATGATTGCCTTGGATCTTGGTGCTGCTTTTGATATCGTTGATCATTGTATTTTGTTAAATCGTCTCGAGACTTCTGTGGGCATCTCAGGTACTGCTCTCTGTTGGCTGCCATGCGTGTCCCACAGAGAGAAGTTCGTCTCATGGGCGTCTGCTCATCTGCTCATGGTTTATTGCCCTCGGGGCTTCATTATAGAACCTCTGTTGTCAAACCTGTATATAACGAGCGCTTGGCCACATTTTTCCTCGTCATGGCTTACATTTGCACTTTTATGCTGATGACTCACAGATTTATCTTAAGACGATAACCAAAGTTGCAGTTTTTTTCCATACTATCCCGTTGTCTTGCTGAGGTCAAGTCGTAAATGCCCCGACACTTTCTTGACTTACATTGTGACAAGACAGAGATGATGTTGTTGGGATCTCCACATCAAGTGCGTACATTTGATGGTTTTAGTATGGCCATCGGTGGGACTGTAATTCGCTCTTAATCTCAGGTCAGAAACTGGGGTGTAATCCTCGACCCCAGTTTGGCATTTGAAGCTCACGTACATAATAGCACCAAAATCCCGTTTTTTACTTTACACAACACGGCTCGACTCCGGCTTTTACTGTGCAGGCCCGATGCCGACAGGCTGGTGCGTGCCTATATATAATCTAGGTTAGATTACTGTAATACCATGTGCTTGCTGGCGTTTTTAGAAGTGTTTTAGATAGATTACAATATATTCAAAACCAGCTGCCCGGGTTTTAACCAGATCTAAATCGTATGAAGCACATCGCTCATATTCTTTCGTCCCTGCACTGGCTCCCTGTAGAGTACAGAATTAACTTCAACATTCTGCTTCTCGCGTATAAGGCCTCGAATGGGCTGGCACCTACATATCTTGCCAATCTGCTCAAGTTTTATAAACACCACTGCGAAAACTTAGATCAGTTGATGTTGGTTTACGCGTCATTCCAAAGACACCACAGTGCTGGTTTTCTATGGGAGACACGGAGCCTTCTGCAGTCAGAAGGCTCCGTGTCTCCCATGCACGAGGGATTTGAAAACCAATTCTGTTTGACTGGATTACTCTGCAATTGTTATTATTCGCTTTAATCATAGTTCTTCGTTTTATTGGAAGTTCGAGAGTCGTCATTGATATTGTTATTATCAGCCTTCTATTTCGCTTCGATTGTATCTATATTTGTGAGTGTAGTTTCATTTTATGTACAGCGCTCTGAGATACTTCAATATGAAAGGCGCTTTATAAAATAGAGGTTGATATTAAAGGTGCTCGCTAACAGCACTTGCCCCCACAGTCTGTTACGGCTATGCTCTGATAGTGCATTGTCTTTGTACTGTTTGCGTTGTCCTCTGGCCTGACACTGGTGAAACGAGGCCAAGAAGAAGCCTGTCCCTGGTGTAGGCCAATCGGTTTCAAGGAAAATGTAAATATGACCAGAGCATGTTTGGTTGCATGTTCACCACAAGTACGCGTGATTCATGCAGACATGACTCCTTGCAAAAGGTGTTTGAACATCTTAACACTTCCTGTTTTATTGTCAGCAAGGGTAAAACCTATTCTTGTTTTTTACACGGCGGATGTTTGTCTTCGTATGCGTAGCGTGTCTCCGTAAATCCGTGCGCGAGCCTATGAAGTGTGCATTTACATATGTGTGACTCATCTCGCGCCAATTATAGGAACGAAGCGCTCAACAACAATCCGTAAAAGTCGAAAAAAAATTCCCCATCGTAACAAAAATAATAATATAACGCTGACCGGACCAAAAAAACCGCGTCTCAAACAAGTCACAGAAACGTGTTGCGAAACCCCCCACAATCAGCCTCGATGCACTATCCCCAAAAAACAGCAGCAGTTGCTGAAGAACTCCCTCCATTGTGGCCCTGTCGTCTTGGGTCATATCGATGGTTCCCAGCGTAAGCGTCGGTGACTGCTGTGCTGATGAGGCCTCGTTGTGATGAAACCGCTCCACGGCTGTCCGTCTCTGTCTCACTGCTGCTGTGAGTCGGTGGTCACATCGACTCACACGGATGTTGATGGGGGCCTAAGAACTGCCGATGGGATTTGCATAATGCACGCGGACTGAGTGTTTACACTCGTGTGTGTGTGCGTGCTGTTTTGAGCAATTAGAGTTAGCGAGCACCCATTAAAGCCTCGCCTTGGGCAGTAAACCTGAAGGTGTGAAAAGCAACGCCTCCGCCAATCGGAGTCGGGCACCAGAGTCAGAGTAATAATTAATTAATGTGCGCGACGTGGGGCCATCCATTGAGTAGTCGGCACGCGAAAATCTGTCAAAACTCGAGCCCTCCCCCCCTCCTTGTACGCGCGCGGACTTTTTACCCCCCCCCCCCCCAGCTGCTGCGTGCGTTCGCCTGAACCCCCCCACCCCCGAATCCTATAGAACGGTCGATATTTAATCCACGCAGAAACGATCAAGGATTAATAATATTAATGTGTTTAAGCAAACAGATAGTCCACCGCCGGCTGCATTATTATTATCCAGGCTTCACCCCCCCCCCGTTTCCTATGCGTACATTGTCGGTAAACTCCCCATACGCAAGCTACGCATTTGGGTTAACCCCCCTCCCCCCTCCATGCGTACGTACTCAATGGAGGGCCCCCATCGCCGCGTGCGGGAGAAGTGGTCAGGGTCTGAGTTGGGATCGGGGTGGAGGCTCGGGCTAAAGGATAAGAGTGGGGTTCGTGGTACAATTTGCGGGTATGGATATTGGCTGGGGTTCTCAATAGGGTTAGGGGTAATATTACGGGTTTGGTTTCCGGATGGAGCTGGGATTATGGCTCGGGATAGGGTTGTGGGTGAGGGATAGAGGCGTGTGTACGGAGTCGGGGTAGAGTCGTGTATAGGGATGGTGTTTGTGGGTGAGGGATAAAGGTGGAGTTATGGGTAGAGTTGTCTATAGGGATGGGGTTTGTGGGTTTGTGGGTGAGGGATAAAGGTGGAGTTATGGGTAGAGTCGTGTATAGGGATGGTGGTGAGGGATAAAGGTGGAGTTATGGGTAGAGTCGTGTATAGGGATGGGGATTGTGGGTTTGTGGGTGCGGGAAAAAGGTGGAGTTAGCGGTAGCTGTGGCTGGGGACCGAATGACAACAACAACAATAATTACACTATGTCACACAATTTTTGTTCCTGGGTACTGAATGTTATTTTTAATTGCTTATGCCTGAAACGTATAGAAATTGGCGATTATTCCCCACAAACTTTGCTTTTGTGACCAGGACTTAATGTGAACGAAATACACAAATGCACACCACGTTTTTCATTGAAAATAGGTAAATTTCGAAATTTCACTGTCGTGGTCACAAAAGCAAAGTCTGTGGAGAATAATAGCCTCTTTCTGTACTTTTGAGGCATAAGCAATTACTACCCAGGAACAAACATGTTTTTTTACACAGTGTGACACAGTGTTACACAGTGTGACACAGTGTTAGACAGTGTTACACAGTGTTCCACAGTATATTCTTGGTGCTTTCGGTAAAGTCACGTAGAAGGGAACAATTAAATAATAAACTATTAAAAATTTCAATTCTCACGACGTTTCGACTGCAACACAAGCTGTGTTTTTCACACCTGATGATGATTGTTTGTGTTGCAGTCGAAACGTCGTGAGAATTTATTTTTTATAGTTTTATTTTACCGAAAGAACCAAGAATATGAATCCCTGCAGTCACGAAAGCTTTAAATCAAAAGTGTCCCAGTGCCACGCTGTGTCACGCTGTGTCACGCTGTGTCACACTGTCTCGCTGTGTCACGCTGTCACGCTGTGTCACACTGTGTCTCACTGTGTCACACTGTGTCTCACTGTGTCACACTGTGTCACGCTGTGTCACAGAGTGTCACACTGTGTACTGTGTCACGCTGTGTCACACTGTCTCGCTGTCACGCTGTCACGCTGTGTCACGCTGTGTCACACTGTGTACTGTGTCACACCGTGTCACGCCGTGTCACTGTGTGTCACGCTGTCACAGAGTGTCACACTGTGTCACTGTGTGTCACGCTGTGTCACTGTGTGTCACGCTGTGTCACAGAGTGTCACACACACAGTGTGTCACGCTGTTGTTATCTGCACCACAGCGCCCTCTCGTGGCCGCGGCTACCTGGAGCCCCCCACTCCGTCTCCTCTCGCCGCGGGGGGGGCTCCGTACAGTCCGTGTGTACTGTGTGTGTGTACTGTGTGTATAATGTGTGTGTACTGTGTGTGTACTGTGTGTATTGTGTGTGTGTACTGTGTGTATAATGTGTGTGTACTGTGTGTGTACTGTGTGTATTGTGTGTGTACTCTATCTGTGTGTACTCTGTGCGTGTACTGTGTGTGTACTCTATCTGTGTGTACTGTGTGTGTACTGTGTGTATAATGTGTGTGTACTGTGTGTATTGTGTGTGTACTCTATCTGTGTGTACTGTGTGTATAATGTGTGTGTACTGTGTGTACGGTGTGTGTACTCTATCTGTGTGTACTCTGTGCGTGTACTGTGTGTGTACTCTATCTGTGTGTACTGTGTGTGTGTACTGTGTGTACAGTGTGTGTGTACAGTGTGTGTACAGTGCGGGTGTACAGTGTGTACAGTGCGTGTGCACTGTGTACAGTGTGTGTGTGCAGTGTGTGTACAGTGCGGTGCTGTCTGCGCCCTCCCCGCCAGGTGGCGCCCTCCTCGCCATGGCCGCCGAGCGCGCCGCGTCTCCTCCTCTGCTGCGGGTGAGGACACCCGCGGTGCCGACTCCCCGAACCCCCGGGGGGCCCCGGGGCCCTGGGGCCCTGGGGCTCCCTCATCCCCGAGTCTCGGGGGTCCCCGAGCGAACCGAGTCCCGGGCCCGCTGGAGGCGACCCAACTCCAGTGGCCTCTGGGCCCCAGGGTCCCGCGTGGGCCCCGAGGCCTCAGGGCCCGAGGCCTCGATTCCTGCTCTGGCCCTGGGCCCCTTCTGATCCCGGGGCCAGCATCCTACCCAGTAATCATAAACACGTCGGGCCAATAACGTGGGTCCAACGGCTCCTGCCACGGTGTCCAGGTCCCTTCGCCACCTGGGTTGTGGAACCCCTGAAACCTGCGGCCCTGGGTTCGCCCTGGGCCCGGCGGAATGGGGGTCGCGACCTGGGTCAGATCGCGAGCGAGGGTCGGCCAGGGGCTCGACGGTGGTCGTGAGCGTCCAGGCCCAGCACCGCCTGCACGCGGCGAGGTGTGTCGGCACGGTGGGGTCAGCAGAGGGCAGTGCAGTCCGCGCCGTGGCTCGACTCGACTCCGATTGCACCCCGCGTCGATGCCGAACGCCTTCACCAAAGCGCACTCACCGGCGTGGTGAAGTATGGTCAAACGACACCCCGCCGTGACCAACACGGCGTGGTGTGGAGGCCCTTCATCCAGCAGTGGATTGACGCAGGGCTGTAGAAGAGTGCGTGGAGAATTGATATTAAGTAGGACCATTGCCCGAAACGTCGTCTATAATGATAATCACGTTAAGGCCACACAGCAGTGCTATTGAGGGGGTCTCTGTGTTGCAGGCGCGAACATGCCTTCAGACTGTTTAGATTATTGTCTGCTGTCAATGCCCAAATGAGAAGCCACTTTGTTCAGCTACAATTTGTGGCCAGGTCGCGTTGTGATACTCCAGTGGGCTTCACCTGGTAGAATGGCGATGGTTTAGTGTCGTACTTGTTTACCTTTCTTGCACTGAGCACTACCGTCGTGTTTCTGTACCGTTTGTTGTTGCAACGTTCTTACCTGCCCCGACTGGAGATGTGTGAAAAAGAGCTTCATAGCTCATCGGATTTCCCCAATATAAATACTGATCTTATTCGCATGCAGTGGCGGCTGCCGCTGGCCTTGCGTGAACCCAACCCGGGGGGGTGCTTCCAGCCCCCTCACGCATCCACCCCCTCATTGCTCCTGCAGCCCATTAGGAATCCCCTCCGAAGACGAAAGCGATGGTAACAGCCATGAACCGCAGCTGGCCGTGCTGACGCACCGCGAGCTAAATGTATCTGTGGTGTGTTCCCACCCAGCAGGGGGAATTCCACATTCCTATGGCAGGGAACAGTTCCACCTCAATGGAACAACCCTTGCCATGAGGTGGCAAGCATCACGCATGAACCACGTGTTTTGGCTGCTGCTGCAGGGCTACGTTGTGGGCAGCAGAGACATCCATTGTACTGTACTATGTTGCTCACGTTCACCAACCCACGCTGACAGGCCTGCGTGGATAGGGATGCCAACCTTCCCAGAGTGGCTGGGAGTCTCAACCGGAATTTGGCATCAATCTCTCAGTGACGATTGAAAGTGATCGGGGAGATTTCAATGGTAGGATATTTAACGAGATCAATGAATATAATGAACGCACACAATTCATACGGAAGTTCATTGCTCGAACAAAACGGCGTCATCTCATTGCGTTTTCCTTTCCCATTGCAGCGTAATGACATAGCGTGTCGTGTAAACAGGACGTGCTTCCAGAACAATTAAAATGACATGACATCAGAATTTTGTGGAATAGCTTCAGTCAAGAGTTGGCAATTCTCGCGGGTGAAGTATGGTCAAATACCTCGCCCCCCCCCCCCCCGTAACAGCGTGGGGGAGGCCATCATCCAGCGGTGGATTGACAGGGGGCCGTTGCGTGCAAATGCCGCCTGCGCTCACGTGGTTGGTGACGGCGTTGTCTGTGCGTTTGCTTCCTTTCAGATTCTGTGCCTGCATGGATACAGGTGAGGGGTTCTGGGCAGCAGCGCCGCGTGGCTCGCGACGCTCCGGCCGGAAACATGGAGAGAGAACGCAGCTTAAGGCCCTCAGATCCAACCCTTGGGCCTGGCAGCCCTCCCAGTGGTGCTCATAATGGCCTAGCATTGGAGACACGGAGCCGGCGCTTCTGCGTGAGGTGCCGAACTATTGCGGTTTTACCGGCGTCGCCCATAACGGCCGGGTCAGAGACACTGAGCCAGCGCCGCTCAGGATCGGCGAATCCCGGAATGCGCCGCTGGAGGCCGAACGCGGATGTCCTGCTTGGCGAGGTATCGCTCGGCACGGCCACCGCTGGCCTGGCCCTGCCGTGCCGGGTCACGGAAGCGTTGTCCGGTGGTGAACGAGAGTGGACACGGTAACCGCGTGTCGCAAGGAAACGAGTAAACGGTACCACGGGTCAAACGGTATCACGGGTCACGCGGTCTTGTTGTAAATGTACCGCCGTTGGTCGCAACATCCCCCGTTGTGCTACGGGGAGCTCGTTCCAGTCACCGGCTGCACGGTCGTTACGGAGAGCAGCAGTATTCTCGATCACGACCCACGGGGTGGTTTTTTCATGGACCCAGGGGCGCAACTATGGCGGGGGGGGGTGGGTACGAGGCAGCGTCATGCGACGCAGAGGGGCCCAGTCGGCCACAAGGGGGCCCCAAAGTAACAGATAATGAAAGAGTATAAGAATAATTATTTTAAAAATTCCAACAACCATGAATGCCAAAAAACATTGTTACAAATAAAAAAACTTTCGAAAAAAATACAGCGTACAATCTAGTAGCACTACTGCTGGTGATTCTTACTGAACACCACCAGGCTTTTTTAACTGACAAGCGCATGAAAGCAAGACGCACGATAACTTAATTGTGAGTTGTACCTTTAAATATTTTTATTAATACTGTCACTGTAAGACTGTCTTCCACGAAACCCAATACACGGTACAACTAAAATAATATATATAGCTTTCGCCTAACATTATATATACAGGGTTAAAAACATCCGTAGCTATTTCAGTAAAGTGAGTCGGGAGAAAGGAGTTTGGGCGGACCCACAGTCTTATCTTGCACAGCCACCGTTACAAATAGGTCGTTGCGCCTCCCTGCACGGTCCCATCTAGCAACGTGATCTGGCCGTTGAATGGCACCCATTAAGCTCAGTCCCAGCTCAGTCTGGGTCTCTTGCGTGCCCGGCGAGACGGCTGTTATCACCACTGGAGTTCGCCAGGCGCTGCCCTTGCGCCTTCGGCTCTCCGCAGGTCATTCCCGGCGACGCTACCTTAGCCTGTTGATCGACTTTGGTGATTCGCCCCCTTCTGGAGAGTGACGGGGGAAGCCAACGAACCAGTCGGTGCCGAGTTGGCACCGCCGAGATCCTGGATCTGAGTCCAGGCAGCCACCCGTGATGAACCCAGGTGCTCAAATGTGGCGAGTTGATGGTCTCCCTCGGCCCGTCACCAAAGAATGCACAAAAATAACAATTGCATTAAGTTTGGTTCTGCATATCATGTGGAAATTTATAGGAAACGCATGATGTAGATTCTAAATGTGGAGGGAAAAATCCACGTGACCATGGGGAGAACACACAAACTCCAAATTGACAGGCGTCTGGGTCGGGATGGAACCCACGACCTTCTGTGTACCAGGCGAGGTGCTGGATGGGACGATCCATCCAGCACCTGTGCGTGATCCCATCCCGTCCCGTATATCTCCGCGGATGGACGTGCTGTAAAAAACCCACTGGGCTCACGCCTGAGAGCGATTATCGGCGAAGGCGCCGATCCCCCCCCGCAGGCGGCAGGTGTTTGTGGCAAAGGGGAGCCGCGTGCTTTCGGAGCGGCGCTCCCGGCAGGTGGTTCGTGCCAGTCGCGGTGGTCGTGGTGTTTCCGGTGACGCGCCAATCCGTGTCTGCGAGCAGGCAGAATGGCAAGACCTTCCGGGACCGCACGGGCTCCCTGCGCAAGATCCTGAAGAAGCACGCAGAGCTGGGTGAGGGTACCAGCGGCACAGGGCGGCACCGCGGACTCCGCCGGCGGTAGTGCCTGCCACTGCCGCTACCGCTGTCACCATGCAGCGCGCTGGCCGCGTGGGTTCATGGTTTAGAATCGAGCGGCTGCCCTGGTTATTACAGCGGTGCGCGTAATAACAGCGATGATACCACGCGCCATCTGCTTTACGGCAGACGTCAAAAAATCACGTGACGTCGTTCGCAAGAGTAGGCCATTGTGTGGCCAGCGTCAGGGTCTGAATTATTTCCAGATTTGACAAATTGCATCGAAAATTACTCAATTGCAATCTACATAGCGATAATCGCCCTTTCTGTAATTCGGACTACACACAGATTGACTCCTGTGGAGCACCCCACTCTGAACCTCTCCCCCTCTCCCCGCCCACTGTGAAAACAGATGCCACTCCTCCTCCAGCAGCAGCAGCAGCGTCGAAGCCCTCGTGTAGCCTCCTCCTCCCTCTCCCCGTCTCTCGGGCACCCCTCCGCTCCTCTTCCTGCCCCTGCCCTCTCACTCCCCACGCGTTCTCTTCTGCTCCCATCCCTCTACTGTCCCCTTTCCCTTCTCCCATCCCTCACCCTCCCCCCCCTGCACTCTACTCCCCTTCCCGTGCTGTGCAACGCGGGTGGTGCATCTAGCCGGGCACAGGAGCCACGGCGAATGAATTTAGTGGGAGCGGGAGTGTAGCAGTTAGCAGCGCGCTGCGCCACGAACATGGCGACCTGAGTTCGAATCCTTCTCACGACCAACACCAGTGACGATTATCTGAACCGGTCCTGGGCCTCCCTTCGGTCAACTCAGCCTCGAATGAGTCCCTGGTGCGGTGTGCAAACATCGCCACTGGGGAGACGAAGACGATGGAGCGTAGCGCTGGCCACCCGCTCCCTGCGCGTGCCGTTCCAGCCTTCAAAGGTGATCGCTCGCAGCACTTGCCCCATTTGTCTGTTAAGGCTAAAGGGGGATCTTTGTCTTGTGTGTCTGTGTGTACTGCAGTTTACATTTCAGCTCCAAACGTGATCCCAGCCCAGAGGGAGGAGGAGGAGGCGGCGGGTGGAGACGGAGACACTCACACAGACGGTGAGGAACGCGCCCAGCCCTCACGCGCACACAAGGCACACACGGTACCTACACGCAGTATACACACATGGTACACACACACAAGGCACACAGGAGCAGTACACACACACGGTACATGCACGCAGTACACACACATGGTACACACACACGGTACACACACACGGCACACACAAGCAGTACGCACACACGGTCAAGGGACAGTTAAAACAAAGTTGGCACAGTAGGGGGCACAGGTGGTGCATCTGCCAATCAACCCATGGCACCTCGGTCTGTCTCGTGACTTGCTGTCAGCAGTGAGCATTCGACAAATCACGTGGCCTCAAGGTGCACCTAGCCTGGCACAAGCGTCATGGTGACGTCTCTGCCACTTAGTGGCGAATGGCGGCTGTTATGTGCGCGGTGTGTCCGGTGGGGTGTGTGGTGTGCACGGCGTGGAGCGATGCGGTGTGTGGTGCGGTGTGAGGGGGCGGTGCAGTGTGTGGTGTGGTGCGGTGTGTGGTGCGGTGTGTGGTGCGGTGTGTGGTGCGTTATTGTATGTGGAGCGATGTGATGTGTGTAGCGATGTGATGTGTGTTGTGGTGTGTGGTTCGGTGCGGTGCGTGGTTTGGTGCATTTTGTGATGTGTGGTGCGGTGTGATGCGGTGTGGTGTGATGTGGTGTGTGGTTCAGTGCGGTGCGTGGTGTGGTGTGATGCGGTGTGTGGTGCGATATGGTGTGTGGTGCGATGTGATGTGTGGAGCGATGTGATTTGTGTTGCGTTCTGTGGTTCGGTGCGATGCGTGGTTTGCTGCATTTTGCGATGTGTGGTTCGATGCGTGGTGCGGTGTGGTGTCATGCGGTGGGGTGTGATGCGGTATGTGGTGCGGTGCAGACCAGCGGGCCTGGTGGTTCACCGTGGACCCAGCCCGGGCCGCGCCGGGCGAGCGCCTCTTCGACTCCACAGCGGCCTCCGCGTTGAGCGTCGGCTTCGACGATTCGGTGCTCGCGATCGCACGCACCCTCACCGAGCTGGGGCCCTTCCACGGTGAGCACCACGACGCCGCCACCACCACCTCCTCTACCATCACCACCTCCTCTACCATCATCACCTCCTCTACCGTCACCACCTCCTTTTCCATCACCACCTCCTCTACCATCACCACCTCCTCTACCATCACCACCTCCTCTACCATCACCACCTCCTCTACCATCACCACCTCCTCTACCATCACCACCTCCTCTACAATCACCACCTCCTCTACCATCACCACCTCCTCTACCATCACCACCTCCTTTACCATCACCACCTCCTCTACCATCACCACCTCTACCATCACCACCTCCTTTACCATCACCACCTCCTTTACCATCACCACCTCCTTTACCATCATCACCTCCTCTACCATCACCACCTCCTCTACCATCACCACCTCCTCTACCATCACCACCTCCTCTACCATCACCACTTCCTCTACCATCACCACCTCCTCGACCATTATCACCTCCTCTACCATCATCACCTCCTCTACCATCACCACCTCCTTTACCATCATCACCTCCTCTACCATCACCACCTCCTTTACCATCATCACCTCCTCTACCATCACGACCTCCTCTACCATCACCACCTCCTCTACCATCACCACCTCCTCTACCATCACCACCTCCTCTACCATCATCACCTCCTTTACCATCATCACCTCCTCTACCATCACCACCTCCTCTACCATCACCACCTCCTCTACCATCACCACCTCCTTTACCATCATCACCTCCTCTACCATCACTACCTCCTTTACCATCATCACCTCCTCTACCATCACCACCTCCTCTACCATCATCACCTCCTCTACCATCACCACCTCCTCTACCATCACCACCTCCTCTACCATCATCACCTCCTCTACCATCATCACCTCCTTTACCATCATCACCTCCTCTACCATCACCACCTCCTCTACCATCACCACCTCCTCTACCATCACCACCTCCTTTACCATCATCACCTCCTCTACCATCACCACCTCCTTTACCATCATCACCTCCTCTACCATCACCACCTCCTCTACCATCATCACCTCCTCTACCATCACCACCTCCTCTACCATCACCACCTCCTCTACCATCACCACCTCCTCTACCATCATCACCTCCTCTACCATCACCACTTCCTCTACCATCACCACCTCCTTTACCATCACCACCTCCTTTACCATCATCACCTCTTGTACCATCATCACCTCCTCTACCATCATCACCTCCTCTACCATCATCACCTCCTCTACCATCACCACCTCCTCTACCATCACCACTTCCTCTACCATAACCACCTCCTCGACCATTATCACCTCCTTTACCATCATCACCTCCTCTACCATCACCACCTCCTTTACCATCATCACCTCCTCTACCATCACGACCTCCTCTACCATCACCACCTCCTCTACCATCACCACCTCCTCTACCATCACCACCTCCTCTACCATCATCACCTCCTCTACCATCATCACCTCCTTTACCATCATCACCTCCTCTACCATCACCACCTCCTTTACCATCATCACCTCCTCTACCATCACCACCTCCTTTACCATCATCACCTCCTCTACCATCACCACCTCCTCTACCATCACCACCTCCTCTACCATCACCACCTCCTTTACCATCATCACCTCCTCTACCATCACCACCTCCTTTACCATCATCACCTCCTCTACCATCACCACCTCCTCTACCATCACCACCTCCTCTACCATCATCACCTCCTCTACCATCACCACTTCCTCTACCATCACCACCTCCTTTACCATCATCACCTCCTCTACCATCACCACCTCCTCTACCATCATCACCTCCTCTACCATCACCACCTCCTCTACCATCACCACCTCCTCTACCATCACCACCTCCTTTACCATCATCACCTCCTCTACCATCACCACCTCCTTTACCATCATCACCTCCTCTACCATCACCACCTCCTCTACCATCATCACCTCCTCTACCATCACCACCTCCTTTACCATCATCACCTGCTCTACCATCACCACCTCCTCTACCATCACCACCTCCTCTACCATCACCACCTCCTTTACCATCATCACCTCCTCTACCATCACCACCTCCTTTACCATCATCACCTCCTCTACCATCACCACCTCCTCTACCATCACCACCTCCTCTACCATCACCACCTCCTTTACCATCATCACCTCCTCTACCATCACCACCTCCTTTACCATCATCACCTCCTCTACCATCACCACCTCCTCTACCATCACCACCTCCTCTACCATCATCACCTCCTCTACCATCACCACTTCCTCTACCATCACCACCTCCTCTACCATCACCACCTCCTTTACCATCATCACCTCTTGTACCATCATCACCTCCTCTACCATCATCATCTCCTCTACCATCATCACCTCCTCTACCATCACCACCTCCTTTACCATCATCACCTCTTGTACCATCATCACCTCCTTTACCATCACCACCTCCTCTACCATCACCACCTCCTCTACCATCACCACTTCCGCTACCATCACCACCTCCTCTACCATCATCACCTCCTTACCATCATCACCTCTTGTACCATCATCACCTCCTCTACCATCATCACCTCCTCTACCATCACCACCTCCTCTACCATCACCACCTCCTCTACCATCACCACCTCCTCTACCATCACCACTTCCTCTACCATCACCACCTCCTCTACCATCATCACCTCCTTTACCATCACCACTTCCTCTACCATCACCACCTCCTCTACCATCATCACCTCCTTTACCATCATCACCTCCTCTACCATCACCACCTCCTCTACCATCACCACCTCCTCTACCATCATCACCTCCTTTACCATCATCACCTCTTGTACCATCATCACCTCCTCTACCATCACCACCTCCTCTACCATCACCACCTCCTCTACCATCACCACCTCCTCTACCATCACCACCTCCTCTACCATCACCACCTCCTCTACCATCACCACCTCCTCTACCATCACCACCTCCTCTACCATCATCACCTCCTCTACCATCACCACCTCCTCTACCATCACCACCTCCTCTACCATCATCACCTCCTTTACCATCACCACCTCCTCTACCATCACCACCTCCTCTACCATCATCACCTCCTCTACCATCACCACTTCCTCTACCATCACCACCTCCTTTACCATCATCACCTCCTCTACCATCACCACCTCCTCTACCATCACCACCTCCTCTACCATCACCACCTCCTCTACCATCACCACCTCCTCTACCATCACCACCTCCTCTACCATCACCACCTCCTTTACCATCATCACCTCTTGTACCATCATCACCTCCTCTACCATCACCACCTCCTCTACCATCACCACCTCCTCTACCATCATCACCTCCTTTACCATCATCACCTCCTTTACCATCATCACCTCCTCTACCATCACCACCTCCTCTACCATCACCACCTCCTCTACCATCACCACCTCCTCTACCATCACCACCTCCTTTACCATCATCACCTCTTGTACCATCATCACCTCCTCTACCATCACCACCTCCTCTACCATCACCACCTTCTCTACCATCATGACCTCCTTTACCATCATCACCTCCTTTACCATCATCACCTCCTCTACCATCATCACCTCCTCTACCACCACCACCTCCTCTACCATCACCACCTCCTCTACCATCATCACCTCCTTTACCATCATCACCTCCTCTACCATCACCACCTCCTCTACCATCACCACCTCCTCTACCATCATCACCTCCTCTACCATCACCACCTCCTCTACCATCATCACCTCCTTTACCATCATCACCTCTACCATCACCACCTCCTTTACCATCACCACCTCCTCTACCATCACCACCTCCTCTACCATCATCACCTCCTCTACGATCACCACCTCCTTTACCATCATCACCTCCTCTACCATCATCACCTCCTTTACCATCATCACCTCCTTTACCATCACCACCTCCTCTACCATCATCACCTCCTCTACCATCACCACCTCCTCTACCATCATCACCTCCTTTACCATCATCACCTCCTCTACCATCATCACCTCCTCTACCATCATCACCTCCTCTACCATCACCACCTCTTCTACCATCATCACCTCCTCTACCATCATCACCTCCTCTACCATCACCACCTCTTCTACCATCATCACCTCCTCTACCATCATCACCTCTTGTACCATCATCACCTCCTCTACCATCATCACCTCCTCTACCATCATCACCTCCTCTACCATCACCACCTCCTCTACCATCATCACCTCCTTTACCATCATCACCTCCTCGACCATCACCACCTCCTCTACCATCATCACCTCTATCATCACCACCTCCTTTACCATCACCACCTCCTCTACCATCACCACCTCCTCTACCATCATCACCTCCTCTACGATCACCACCTCCTTTACCATCATCACCTCCTCTACCATCATCACCTCCTTTACCATCATCACCTCCTTTACCATCACCACCTCCTCTACCATCATCACCTCCTTTACCATCATCACCTCCTCTACCATCACCACCTCCTCTACCATCATCACCTCCTCTACCATCACCACCTCCTTTACCATCATCACCTCCTCTACCATCACCACCTCCTTTACCATCACCACCTCCTCTACCATCACCACCTCTTGTACCATCATCACCTCCTCTACCATCATCACCTTCTCTACCATTACCACCTCCTCTACCATCATCACCTCCTTTACCATCATCACCTCCTTTACCATCATCACCTCCTCTACCATTACCACCTCCTTTACCATCATCACCTTCTCTACCATCACCACCTCCTTTACCATCACCACCTCTTGTACTATCACCTCTTCTTCTACCATCATCACCTCCTCTACCATCACCACCTCTTGTACCATCATCACCTCCTCTACCATCACCACCTCCTCTACCATCACCACCTCCTTTACCATCATCACCTCCTCTACCATCACCACCTCCTTTACCATCATCACCTCCTCTACCATCACCACCTCCTCTACCATCA